CAAAAGGCTTATCATCATCATTTTTTATGCAGATATTTGTGCCATTATCAAAGGTTGCAACCAATCTATCTATTATTAGTCAACCAACTGATCGATCGATTAATCAATAGCATATATGAGCAAGAAGTGAGGTTGGAAGGAGCTTGACAGTGATACTGAGTAGTACTGTGTTACAATAACATGTGTTCTAGCGTAAGTTACATACAAGCTACAAGAGGGTCTCAATGGGGTTAACCGTGAGCCGTGAAACGGCTGAAAAATTAGCCGTGAGTCGTGAAAATGAGAAAAAAAATTAGCCGTCAGGCGTGAATGTTTTTTTATAGCGTGAGCCGTGATTCAGTTTCGTTCCTCAGAAGGACAGTCAACTCCAGGCGCGCGCTTGTAATTTTTTATTTGTAAATTTAAAAATTAAAAGCTTGAGTGGAGATTTTTCAAAATTTTGCCTTGCCAGAATTTTTTCGGCCCTTCGGGCCGTGCAGGAATTTTTCCCCAAAATCTTCCACTCCCCCACCCACCCCACCCTCTCAAAATTCTAATGGATCGTACTTACCAACAAGGCAGTAATTACAAGGCCCTGCAGACAAGTCAGGGCATGGGACAAAATTTGACATTTGAGAGTGATGATAAAAAATTATAATAACTATAACGTACAAGGGGACACTGTGCTCCCACACTCACTATCTCTAGCACAAAACAAATTACATGAAAAAGTAATGAGAAACGTTGTTTTCATTTCAAAAATTTCTGAAAGTGATCTAGATACCGGGTTTCGAAAAAAATTAGTCGTGAGTAGTGAAATAGCCAATTTTTTAGCCGTGAGTCGTGATGCGTACCACCCCATTGAGACCCTCCAACAAGGACTGAATGGGGAGTCCCGATATATCAGTTAACAGTTAAATTTTGGCAATTTTCTCAGTTATCAGTTACATTTCTCGGTTCTCTGTTAAGCTACATATTAATTATTAATTTCGTGTAATAGTCTAACACTTGCATTCAATCAGGATTATGATATTAAGTACAGTCAATCAATCAATCAATCTTCTTTTATTTTAGTATCACGATAAATCTATCTTTAAAACAGCTTTTGCTTTGGTCACTTGTACAAGGACATTGCTTTTCAAATYAAAGCATGCATTGTGCTCTTGACAAAACGCAGCTACAGTTTAAACAGCCTGACGTCACTGCAACTATTGAAGTAGCAGGTTCCACTACACGAGCTTCCATCCCACAGATCGACGTGCCCTGTGGCTCCTTGAAAAGTGCATCCTTGAAAAACGATGATTCCCTTATGTCCCTGAGAGAAGTAATAGACAAAAATTGCAAATGTAAGTAAAACTGGAATAATGAGTAAATTRTTTGGTGGAATAAATGAAAAGACAATACTACATGAGAAAATGCAGTCATGCCATTTTTTGACTGAGAGAAATTGTGTACAAAAAATGTCCGAAGAGTGTCAACGACATAAAATAATTATGATGTAAAAATGATGGTTGGAGAGGAGCTCTTAGCTAGAATACATAAACTGCTTGGGCTTCTAAAGAAAGAGTTGATGCGAAAAGATAATTATTGATGTAAAAAATGCCAAACGAGGTAATTACCGACATTAAGGACTTCAGTCTTTTTTTTTTACTCCGTCTAGAAGCACTAACCTACGATAGGTCATGCAGACTGCACTGTAAGTATAGTTTACAACATGAGCGGCCGTGTTGTATGGGAATTACAATCTCGAGCCGCAGGCG